CCCCCCCGTCCCCCATCGGCCGGAGCCCTGCACCAGCCTCTTTCTTGTTCCTCTAGAATTTGACAAGTTCCTGGAAGAACGGGCCAAAGTGGCCGATCGGTTGCCCAACCTCTCCAGCCCCTCAGCTGAGGGGCCCCCGGGCCCCCCTCCTGGCACCGCCCCTCGAAAGAAGTCCCAGGAGAAAGATGACGACATGCTGTTTGCCTTATGAGTGGGGCCTGGCACCCTGTAGCCTGAACCCCGACTGCTCCCACATCCCTTGGCTGGGGCCTCTCTCCGTCTTCAGTGTTAAAGCTGCTTTGGGGGTGGCTTGTTACCCACTTCTCTCCTCCTTGAGGCTGGGCCATACTGTTTAGGGGTGTGGGGAGGCGGCCAGATAAACTGGGGGAACAGGTCAGTACTATGTTGGGATCCTGGCCAGTCCTGCCACCTCCTCCACCCTAACCGACCACTACGACTTTGCTGAGACCCAGAAGGCCTGGCACAGACAGGCTGGCTGCTTGGTTGCCCAGGGTGATGCTCCTTGCCCTGGGCGATCCTGTCCCTGGACCCCGCTCCAGAGCCCACACTGCCAGTCGAGGCAAGGCTGGAGCTAGAAGCTTCTGTGGCAGCCTCTGTCCCTTTCCCGGCCCTGTCATGGAGCCTGGAGGCTCTGCAGCTGTTGAGGGCAGGTCACATTGCCCTCTGCTGAGCTGCACCCTGTCCAGGGATGAAGCTGCACATGGTGGGGCACAGGGGAGGCTTTGAGGGGTGCCTGGAGCACCTGTGGTCCCCACAATCTCCACTGCCTTTTTCTCCATCCTTCCTCTTCTGCTGGGCATGGGCCCACCTATCTGTTGTTCAATCCTCTTATACCGGGAGAGGTGCCTTTTGTATCCCTAATTAAAGGTAGAAAACCACCCTGCTAGCAGCATTCAGTCTCCAGGTGGGAATTGGCTTCTTGGTCTCAGCAGTGGAAGGGGCGTCCAAGACATGGGCATCGTAGCTGGTACAGACAGGGGGCATCGGGACTAGGCACCCAGCAACACCTCACCTAGGCTCCAGCCATGATTTGCTCTGCCAGGAGGCCCCATCGCTGTCCCTCTGAGTGACACCCCTACATGCTCAGGGCCCCTTCACACCCCTCAGGCCAGCCCCTGCCCTGCAGCAGTGACACCACAATCACAGTGTGGGAGCACCTGTGGATGGTGCCAGCGTGTTGGAGAAATGGTCCTGCAGAGGAGGCCAACCACTTTGTCTGAGCCCAGGTGCCAGGCACCGAACTAGGCTACACATAGGCTCATGGAACTGTCACGACAGCCCGGGGCGAAGTGACGTTACCATCTCGTCTCACAGATGCCAAGGCTGTGACTCGGTCATGTGAGCTGCCCAGCCCAGGAGAAAGGACACAGATGCAGTTGTTTGTCATGTGCTGGGCACCGTGTGCCTCAGTGCATTGTCCTCATTTTTCAAATGACACCAAGGCTCAGTGTGGATTACCTGGCACACAGCTCAAGGAGCCGGGTCACAGGTCAGGCGCAGGTCATCGGTTCTTATCTCACTCCTGGCAGCTGCAGAGCCTCGGGTCTTGGGTACTGCCTTTTTTTACACCTGGCACTGGTGAGTCACTGCTTGAGACATGTCGGCACCTCCCGACCCATCCCGTGGTGGTGGAAGGGAAGGGGACTGGTGTGCGGCTCGGGAGATTGACCCGAAAGGTTAGCCCATGGAGCAAAGCAGAAGCTAGAATGCCCAGACCAGAGGACCGGGGCCGTTGGAGAGGGGCCTGGGTCTCTGAGCAGCCACCGGCTCCCATCAGCAGTGGACAGCACCTACCTTCTGAGCTGTGGCCTGGAGCTGGACACACAGGAGACCAGGCCCAGCCAGCCTCCAGGTGGAGCTGGGGCAAGGAAGGCAGCTTGGGGGCAGGACGATGGGACCTTAGATTTGTCCATCCCCTAAGCAGGGGAGGAGGCAGGGAGGCTCACCGTCGAGGCCAAGCTTCAGAGCTTGCACAAGCCAGGCCTGGAGGAAGGCGACGGCTGAACCTTACGTCTGACCCGTTTCCCCAACCTAACCTACCTCTGTGTGGGGAGCAGCTGTCCCACTCCCCTGGGCAGCTAGCCATCAGCCAGGAGACGGTGGCACCCTGGGCCCTTGCCCTGCAGTCATACCACACTCAGCTGGTCCAAACAGGTTAGCCCCTACATCATGCTTACCTTAGCTATGCTAGCCCAGGTCACGGGAAGGCTCTGGTCTTAACAAGGTATTAAGCATCTCCTGGACATGGTCCAACCTTGCGTGGTTACTCCGCAGCGACCCCTGTGCTGAGGGTGTGGAGCCTTGCCAGCCCTGCCCAGAGGCTGCTCTTACTCAAAACCGGGAAAACGCCCAAGTCCATGTGTTATGCTGTCACTTGGTCACCTCTGCCTCCACGTGGACAGCAGCACGCCCCGGCCCCCATCTTAACCTGATTTAGGTCACCCAGAGGCGGCAGGTGCCTGGCCCCTGGCTCTGCTCTGAATGGCTAGACGGCACTCTTGCTGGCCCCGCCGCGGCCTCGTCAGCGCTCCTGGGAGCACGTTGCTTCCGACACCCCTTCGCTGACTATTTCTGGCTGAGTGCCAAACCACCAGTGTCCGGAGCAGCGAGCTGAATGCTGTCCTTGATTCCACCTGTTGGACAAAGGCTCCTGAAGCCCCGGGGGTTTGTGACCATCTTTGTCATAATATGCTCCTTTTTCAGCTGGTCCCTGCATTGCTGTGGTAGGCAGCATCTGGGGGTCAGCTAAGAGAACTCGGGCAATAACTGATCTGCTGGGCGTGCGTGCGCACGTGCTCACATGCGGTGGGGCAAGCTGTGCTGGTGAGCTCTGACTCACAAAGGTGTAGGCATCTGGCCCTGCCGACCTGGTGAGGGGTGGGCTTCCCCCCTGCCCTCCCAGGTCCTCCTCCTCCCCACCCGCATCCAGCTGGGCTGCTGTGTGCGGTGCCTGGCCTGGGCCTTGCCACACCTCGCAACAGCCCTGTGGGGTCAATGGTTTTGACCACTTACAGATGGGGAAACAGGTTCCAGGAAGCAGGGACCTGCTCAGTCTCACATTAAGTAATGGAAGAGTGGGGCCCGATCCTTGACACACTGCTGCCTCCCCTCCCAGCCCAGCCCACACCCCACTGCCTGTCTCCCACAGCCTCTCCACCAGGTGAGTGACAGCAAGGGTCTCAGCCCCAGGCCTCCCTTCCCAGTGTCAGCAGGAAGCCCAGGGAACCTCCAGTTCGTAGCTTCAGCGGCTCTCGGCGGAAGTTGCCGAGTCCTTTATTCTGGCCTGTGTATACTACAGAAGTGAAAGTAGCCAAGCGCCAGTCCTGGGGGTTCACAAGGAAGGGAAGGGGACAATATGGACATATAAATTCAAAAAGTACCACCTGCTGTGAACTAAAGGAAAGGGAAACACGCAGAGGAGCTGGGAAGTCAGGGAGGGCCTCTGCCAAGGGCCCAGCCTAGAGGGTGGGGCAGGGCGCGGAGACCCAGGCAGGGAGAGGCCAGGAATGTCCCTGGATGTGGCAGCACTAGGCATCCCTTCCTTAAGCGCCCCTTTTCCAGAGAGAAGGCTGCTGGGGCTGGTGGTGGGTGAGGGAGCCCTGGCAAGAGCCATTAGCGCTGGCCAGGCTGGGTTTGCTTGGCGCAGGCTGTCTGGGCCGATCACTCAACAGCGGCAGGAAATCCAGCAGCCTCACATAAAGGAGAACCAGCTGCTGGCAGGGGCCTTGGGCTATGCCTGGGGCGACAGGATTAGTGAGGTGCCAGCAGCTCCCGCCGGGTCCGGCAGCCTCAGAAGATGGCACCTGGCCAGGGACATGGACAGGCTGAGTGGAGCCCAGCCCAAGGGTGGGGGAGGAGGCACCTAGGAAGTGTAGCCCCTGGGGACTCCAAAGGAAGCACTCACCAGGGTGTCTGGAAGCCTCTTGGCAGAGCCTCCACTCCCTCCTGGCTTCTCTGAGCCACCAGAACCCCAAACTGGGCCTGGACACTGACCCCTGCCACCTACCCCCTGCCCCAGTGTCAGCATCCAGTCCTGGCAGGGCCACTTCTGAGCTGTGTGAGCTTAGGCAAATTACTTAACCTCTCTGTGCCTCAATTTTCCCACTTGTAAAATGCACTATAGCAGTCACTCCCTCATAGGGTGGTTGTGAGCATTAAATGACAGGACAAGGAGCATAGCACCTGTCAAGAAAACGCTCCACACGTGTTGTCACAGGTGGTACCCCTTCTCCATCCAGACCAGCCCCTGCTCCAGACACGCAGCCAAGTCACTGCCCCTCTGACTCCCAGGTAATTTCAGGGACCCCAGCTCTCAAGGGTGCTTGCTGCCTTCAGGACAGCCTCAGTTCCAGCGACAGTGCCTTTGTGCCTGCCTCCTGGGCCGGGCTGCTGCCCCTAAAGGGGGCCACGGAGTGAGGCAGTGTCCACCCAGGAGTCCTGGAATGGGCTCTGCGGACTTACAGTGTCTGGAGGCGGCAGGGGCTCAGGTCAGTGCCCCATAGCGACCACAAGATGGCAGCAGTGCCGCACGAGCTGGCGCCTGCAGGGGTGGAGTCCCTCTCTCCACTGCACCAAGGGGAAGGGGGGGGGGGACACGGACAGCTCCAGCACTGTCCCTCTCTGCCCTCGGTGCCGCAGCACGAGGTGTTTGTCCCAAAACCCAAACCCCACTAAACCCCCTTGCCCTCTGCCCCCACAAACCCACCTCTGTCTGGTGGACGTGGGAGCTCGAATCGGAAGGATCTGCAGCAGGAAACTGGATACGACCCCAGCCCTTCATTACACCTCCTGACCCACAGGGTTGTGGGGCAGATTCGATGAGGAGCTGAGGGACAGCTAATGGGAGCTCTGGGTGGGCACTACCCAGCCCTGTCCCCTCTGAGCCCCCTGAGCTGTGGGCACCACCTCCAAGGCAGGGCGTGTTCACTCCTACAGGGCACCCACACACACAGTCTCGTGGGCACAGCATTCAGATCTGTGTGTATTTCTAGTTCTACTCACAATATGTAGAAAAGCACGAGTTCACACCAATACCCAATTTTAGTACAGCACCGTGGATTCCTTCCAGCCTCCCCTCTTCCGTATTTGTGACTCCCTCCTCCAACTGGGAGAAACCTGGCTCCCAGTATCCTGCATGTATTGACTTACCTGCTCAAAACTATCAGTAGCCAATGTCCCACTGCCACCACTGCCCCACCCTGCCGACGTCCTCTCACCTTGCTTGGGTCCCCACATGCCTGGGTGGGTCCTCAGAGCCCCTGCCCAGACCCTCCTCACCCAGCACGGGCTCCAGCACCCCACTCAGGGCCACAGCCACCCACCCCCACCTCGAGGCAGCTCCTGCCCTCTTGGTCCCATCTAATGGCTTTGGAACAGATTAAGGACAAGAGTGGAAGAGGAAGATGAGGTTTCATTTTAAGAATGATCAGAGTGGGCTGGCGAGTGGTGCGTTGGTTAGGAGTTG